GGTGGAGTACTTCTCTAGCTTGCTTGAGGCCCTGGGTTCAATTCCCAGTGCCACACAAGCACAGAAGAAAGTTCTAAAGTTACCAACCTCTTAGTTTGTGTTCACTTATTTTGTTTAACCAAAGCCCCATCAAGCCAGGGGGCACAGGAAGCAGCCTCTGCAATTCACCACCTATCTCTTCCTTTGTAATCTGTTATACTGAAAAGTTGTGAGAAGGGTCAGAAAATCCTCTAATCAGAAATATAAACTCATTTCATAGAAGGAGGGAGCTTAAAAAGCAACAGCAGAGGTGAATGCTAACGAGTGACTTTTTTCTCTGCTGTTGGGAACAGATAGGGTATTGTGTTCCATACTGGTTGATCCAGTCTTTCCTCGAATGGTTTTCTGTTCCTTAGGCCAGAATATTGGCCGGCATTTTTCAGAAGTTGTAATTATTACACATTGTGCCTGCAGGGTATTGAAGGACCAAAGAAAGTTCAGGGCTGGAAATTGCGGGTTTGGAAAGAGCAAAGCCACTGGGTTTGGCTTTTAGGTTTATACCGTTGACCAACAACGGGTCGATTCTTTTTTAAAAACATACAGAAATTAATCTTAGTGACACCCTTCTGGGTTCCTATCAAAATTTTAAAACAACTCGATTACACCCTTCCCTCAGAAGGGGACTTTGCACATAAAAGACATGAAACAGTTTTGTGGAGCAGAACATTCTTTGAAAGCTCTGGGTGGAAGAAAGCACTTGCTTAGGGGACTTAATTGATAGAAACTAGCAGCCTGGACAGGCTGCCTGAGTTCAAAGGCACCGCTTTTAATCCCAAACCATTTTAATTTTACTTAACTTTTATTTCTTTCTGGGTGACTACACTGCAAACTTCTATTAATGTACTGCCAAGTAATTTTTCTTAAGAAGGTGGATACTTTACAAGATCCATAGCCAGGAGACGGCTCTCAGGAATGCTGGTAGTACAGTGTTGTGTAGATAAAAACAGAGGCCAGGGAAAAAGTAGGCCATTCTGTTTTATATGTGGAAGGGATTCTGTCTCTGGCAAGTGTGCCCTGATGGAAAACAACCAGGGACTAGTACTTCTGTAAGCCTGGAAATGTAATGCCTCTGGCAATACATGATCTTAAGAGACTGAAGCCTCCTGTTTTCATAGTTGGGATTTCGTGTTAGTAGAACAGCCAAATGTCAACCGTTGCAAGGAGCCTCATCCAATTCACAGGCATGCAGCTGGAGAGAAAGCTCAGCTTCAGGAGATGACATTTTACGTTTTGGGGATGAACAGGAAGAATGCAAAAATAGCCTCCTGCAGCCAAGAAATGAGCAGCTCTTGGAAGAAGCCCTTGAGCAAAATTGTTCTTCCTTTCCTTGCTAATACCAGGGACTCACCACATGGCTTGCAGACTTGCACACGAGGCGATTTTTTATTTTTATTTTTAATGTTTTTGACCCATCTGAACATTGAAGAATTTACAAAAAGTAATAAGGTGTGATACTTTTGGTGGAAGCAGTTTCTTTTTTCTAGTTATAGGTAGTCAGTAGACCTTTAGTGTATTTGTTCATTTTTAGGCAGTGCTAAGGATCGAACCCAGCGCCTCACGCGTGCTAGGCAAGCACTCTTCCACTGAGCTACAACCCTGGCCCAGAAGCAATTTCTTAAAAACAGCAAACAGTGAGATGAGCTGACTCTGGCAGCTCTATCTTCATAAAATAAATAGCGGGATTCACAGTATATGTGATCATTCTGACATCCTAAAAACTAACAGTGGTCAATACAGCAGTCACTTCTCTTCCCTGACATGTATTCTCTAGGGAAAATAAAATGGATTTACTGAGATGACTTGTATTCTCTCCTTTCCAAGATTCCCAATCTTTCTTCCATGTTGCACATAACTACTTTGCCTGTGTGGCGCTGGCCATTCTATATTTATGATAGACTCGAGTACTGAATTGTTTTTTGTTGTTTGGTACCAGGGATGGAACTCAGGGGCACTTAACCATTGAGATACATCCCCAGCCCTTTTTATTTTTTGAGACAGGGTCTCACTAAGTTGTTAAGGTTGGCCTCGAACTCGTGATTCTCTTGCCTCAGCCTCCTGAGTTGCTGGGATTACAGACATGTGCCACCATGCCCAGCTTACAGTATCGATTTTAATTGACTTTAATAGGATGGTCCGGGATAATTAAGGAAAAGCATTTAATCTGGTATATTTAATATTGTTAGATATTGTCAAATGCACTGTCCTTTAAGGCTAGTACTGTTGAATATGAAATATTAATTGAAAATCAGCTGGCAGACAAACTCTCTTAAAATGCCATAACCATGAATTTTCTTAAGAAAATGTACCATTTCACATCATTAGATGGCCACTATCAAAAATCGGGAGCCAGGTACACTGGTACACACCTGTAATCCCAGTGGCTCGGGAGGCTGAGGCAGGAGGATCGGGAGTTCAAAGCCAATCTCAGCAAGGGCGAGGTGCTAAGCAACTCAGTGAGACCCTGTCTCTAAATAAAATACAAAATAGGACTGGGGATGTGGCTCAGTGACCGAGTACCCCTGGGTTCAATCCCTGGTACCCTCCGCCCCCCCAAAAAAATTAGGAAATAGGCCCAGTGGCACATGCCTGTAATCCCAGCAGCTCAGGAGGCTGAGGCAGGAGGATCTCAAGTTCAAAGTCAACCTCAGCAAAAGTGAGGTGCTAAGCAACTCAGTGAAACCTGGTCTCTAAAATAAAATACAAGGGGCTGGGGTTGTGGCTCAGTGGTAGAGTGCTCACCTAGCGAGGCCCTGGGTTCGATCTTCACCACCACATAAAAAATAAAACAAAGGTATTGTGTCCAACTACAACTAAAAAATAAATATTAAAAATAAATAAATAAATAAATAAATAAAATACAAAATAGGGCCCCAGAATTCAATCCCTGGTACCCTCCTCCCCCAAAAAAGAAAAATCAGGAAATAGCAAATCTTGATGATGTGGAAAAATTGGAATCCTTGTGAAAAGGTGGTGGGAATATAAAATAAATGAAAAACAGTTGCCAGTTCCTAAAACAAAACAAAACAAAAAAACAGAATCACCATATGATCTAGTAATTCTACTTCTGGGTATATATTCAAAAGAATTGAAAACAGAGTCTCAAAGAGATTCTTACACACCCCTGTTCACAGTGGCATTATTCACAATATCGAAAAGGTCAATTTGAAAGCAAATGTTCAAAGGAATAAATGGATAAACAAAGTGTGGCACACATATATATTATTTATTATTCAATATTAAAAAAGGAAAAATTTTAACACACATAACACGGATGAACCGTGAAGACAGTGTGCTGAGTGAAATAAGCTAGTCACAAAAGAACTCATACTGTATGACTCCCCTGATGTGAGGCACCTAGAGCAGTCAGATTGATAGACTCAGAGAACAGGTGGTGACTGCCAGGGGCTGGGGGAGGAGCAAGCGGGGAGGTAGTATTTGATGGGTACAGAGGACAGCTGGCAATGAGAAAATTCTGGAGATGGATGATGGTGATAACTGCACATGAGAGGTCAATGTCCTGAATGTCACTTAACAATGGTTAAAATGGTAAATTGTATGTTTATATTTTATCATAATCAAAAAATGAATGAAATATTAGACCAGAAGTTATTTTAAAAAAATAGAGTGGACCAGGCATGCCCAGCAATTCGGAAGGCTGAGGCAGGAGGATTCCAAATTCGAGGTCAGCCTCAGCAACTTAGCAAGGCCCTAAGCAACTTAGAGAAATCTTGTCTCAAAATTTAAAAAATTAAAGGGGGGCTAGGATATAGCTCAGTAGTATAGCATCCTGGATTCAATTCCCAGTACAGAACCAAAAAAACAAAAAAAAAGACACAATGCAGCTTCTGGTGGACTTACCTTCTCTCACTGTTAACTACCTGCTCCAGAGGCCAGGGAAGCTTTTGGTGTATGTTTTTGTCATTTTGTTTCTTGTTTTGAGTGCTAGGGACTGAAGTCATGACCACTGAGCCACATCCTCAGCTCTATTTTGTATTTTATTTAGAGACAGGGTCTCACTGAGTTGCTTAGTGCCTGGCCATTGCTGAGGTTGGCTTTGAACTCGAAATCCTCCTGCCTCAGCCTCCTGAGCCCCTGGGATTACAGTTTGGTGTATGTTTTAAATCACTTCAAGTCCACACTTTTCTTGCTCCTATCTGAGACAGAGTTCATTGTTGTCTTCCTCTTCCCCCAGAACCTCCCACCTTCCACAAGCCCTCGCCTTCTTTGAGGGTTCAGCTAGAAAGAAATACATGAGGCTCTTTGGTTGAGAAACACGGATCCCATGAATATCTATGGAAAATGCCAGATTGACTCTGTTGTTTTGTTGTCTTTTATCACCTGGGAAGAAAAGCTGAAAAATTAAAGGGACAGGGAAGGGCAGTCATGGAGAACTCTAGAACTGTAAGCTGGCTTTCTCCCCAAAGGCTTTTTGAACCACATTATAATGATGACCCTTGTGAGTAAAAGCCAGTGGATTCTTATGAAGAATAGAGGTTTTCATTTGAAGGGGAACCTAAAGAAACTTCAGCTTGCTTTCAGGAAGTCTTTTTTTTTTTTAAGTCTTACTTAGTAAGAGTTGACCCTAGAAAAATGCAGGATTCATGACAATGTTGGAATTGACTAGACTGTGCCCACCCTACCCCACCTCACCTTTTCTAAGCAAATCACACAGACTAAGATATAATTGAATTATTTCCTTGCCCACCACCAGCCTGGTTTTCAGGATTTAAGCCATCCCAGACTTGGAGAGGAGTTGAGTACAGGATGTGTGCTGACTTTCCACTTGTGAAATCGCTTTAGACAGGCTCTCATATCTAACAAGGGTGGGAGATTTGCGTTCATTCCTTTAGGTCGAGGGCGATCAGCAGGTTTGCATGGAGGGTCCTCACACATCCAAGAAAAGCAAACTGTAGTTTGGCTTCAAGAAACGTCCTGGAACTCAGTCTCTCTATTTTCCAAAGTTTCCGCAGGTTCACTCGATCCAACAGCGTGACAACGGCGGTGCAGGCGGACCTGGACTTCCATGATAATCTGGAAAATTCTATGGAATCTATAGAGGACAATTCGTGTCCCGGCCCCATGGCTCGGCAGTTCTCCCGGGACGCCAGCACCTCCACCGTCAGCATTCAGGGCTCAGGAAACCACTACCACGCCTGCGCAGCCGACGACGACTTTGACGCGGATTTTGACCCCTCGATTCTGCCTCCTCCGGACCCCTGGATTGACTCCATCACCGAAGACCCCCTGGAGGCCGTGCAAAGGTCAGTGTGCCACCGGGACGGCCACTGGTTTCTGAAGCTTCTCCAAGCAGAGCGGGACCGCATGGAAGGGTGGTGCCAACAGATGGAGAGAGAAGAGCGGGAAAACAACCTCCCGGAAGACAGTAAGTGACGCTGCACGCGCATCTGGACCCTGGGGGCAGGGGGAGGGTCAGGGGTCAGTCACGCCCTGGGCTTGGCTGTTTTCTTTCCTGCCAGTTTCACCTGCTGCATCTTGGCCATTTCACATAGGAAACCAGAACAGGTGGAAGAGCTAGGCAGTTGCAACCCAGAGTCCAGAAGCTTCTGTGCTGGGCAAGAAAGAGAAACCTCTGGGCAGACATCACTCTTTCTAGCTCTAGATCTATGACTTTTCTTGTCTTCTCAGAAGAGTACCAAGCTCAACATGGTAGCTCAGTCTCTACCCTGGTCTTCCTTCCTCAAGAGGATCTAGAAATGCTACTGATTCTTAGGGGGTTAAAAATAATTCTAGGCCAGGCATGATGACACACATCTGTAATCCCAGAGGCTCAAGAGGCTAAGTCAGGAAGGCAACTAGAGTTCAAAGCCAACCTTAGCAAAGGTGAGGCGCTAAGCAATTCAGTGAGACCCTGTGTCTAAATAAAATACAAAATAGGGCTGCGGATGGGGCTCAGTGGTTGAGTGCCTCTGAATTCAATACCTGGTACCAAAAAAAAAAAGAAAAGAAAAGAAAAGAAAGAAAGCAATGCTAAACCAGACATAGTGGCACACTGCTGTAATTCCAGCAGCTCTGGAGGCTGAAGCAGAAGGATTGTAAGTTTGAGTCCAGCCTCAGAAACTTAGCAAGACCTTGTCTCAAAATAAAAAACAAAAAGGGCTGGGGATGTGGCTCAGTGATAAAGTACCCCATGGTTAAATCTTCAGTACCAAATGCTGATAATTACTATTAATAATAATTCTAACTAGTTTCAAGATCCATAGATATATGAGCATTTATAATCTGTAGAGTTCTTTTATTTTCCTACCATATTAAAATGAGGATAATGTATAGACCAATAGAAACCCATGCTTATTGCATTTTTAAACCTTGTTAACATGTATTTTGTTTGTTTGTTTGTTTTTCGTTTTTGTACTGGGGATTGAACTTAGGGGTGCTTTACCACTGAGCACATCCCAGCCTTTTTTATTTTAATACAGGGTCTCACTAAGTTGCTTAGGACCTCTCTAAATTGCTGAGGCTGGCTTTGAACTTGTGATCCTCCTGTCTGAGCCTCCTGAGCTTTTGGGATTTTAGGCATATGTCACCATGCACTTTTTTTAGGTTTCAAGGAGGCAAACCTTCAGTCACTAAAGTAATCAACACAAATTCCATTTTAGTGGTTAAAATAAATGATAAAATAAAATGAGTGATAAATAAATAAAACAAATACTAAAGACCCCCACTTTCTTGCACATCATTATTTTTAAACTTGGCCTTTTAACAACAATTCCCATTGTTAAAAGAGAAAAATCACCACAAATCTGGGTTTGCAGATCTTAATAGGCTTTATCTGCAATTCTAGAATCAGACAGCAATCTGAGCAAAAATGGACAGGTTCTACCTATGAATAGAGAAAAGGAAGTGACATACAGCATATGGAAGTGAGGTTCAAAGTCAGACACATCTGCTTACATCTGTCTTATTTGAATGTGTCTTGAAGAGTTGGCTGCTCTTGATTGAGACTAAGCCACATGTTACAAGAGTAAGTTGCAGTCTTCTTACACATCAGGTTAGGTCACAGTTCATTATGTTCAGAGGAAGCTCCTGTCAAACTTTCTTTTTTTTTTTTTTTTTGTTACCAGGAATTGAACCCAGAGGCAGTTAACCACTGAGTCACATCTCCCCTGTTTTATTCTGTATTTTGAGATAGGTTCTTGCTAAATTGCATAGGGCCTCACTAAATTGCTGAGGCTAGCCTCAAATTTACAATCCTTCTGCCTCAGCCTCTTGAGTCATTGGGATTACAGGTATTCTGCATCACCCTTGGCTCCCACTTCTTTTTATTGGTGCATTATGGTAATATAACAGAATTATATTATAGGTATACAATGATGGGATTTGTTACATATTTTTACATACAGCCAATATAACAATATAATTTCTGTCAAACTTAATTTAACACTATTAACAATTGATAAAGAAAAATTACCAGATTATTCAATAATGAGGTACATTTTATACATTTTCAACAACTTTGAAATTGTGATATGGTTTATAATCAGTGTGTATTTTAATGTCATGTTTTAATTTTCCTTTAAAAACTACTATTACTAAATTAATGGTGGATCCTCCAACTGATTGATTATATTTTTAAATCAAAATAATGTAGTGGTAGGCAGAAAGCCTGCTTCATTTCATATGGGAGCCATCTAGAATGTGTTGTCATGATATAGGTTTTAAAAATTGTTTTTTAAATAACCATTTAACTTTTTTTTTTTAAAGAGAGAGAGAGAGAGAGAGAGAATTTTTTTTAATATTTATTCTTTAGTTCTCAGCGGACACAACATCTTTGTTGGTATGTGGTGCTGAGGATCGAACCCGGGCCGCACGTATGCCAGGCGAGCACACTACCACTTGAGCCACATCCCCAGCCCCCATTTAACTTTTTATCATGAATATATCTAAAATATGCATAAAAAACATGGCACGGTGGTTCACGCCTGTAATCCCAGTGGCTCAGGAGGCTGAGGCAGGACGATTGCAAACTAAAAGCCAGCCTCAGTAATTTAGCAAGGCCTTAAGCAACTCAGAGAGACTCTGTCTCTAAATAAAATATAAAAAATGGTTATGGGTGTGCCTCAGTAGTTAAGCACCTCTGAGTTCAATCCCCAGTACCAATAAATAAATAAATAGAATTTAATATAATGAATCCCCATGTACTCTTCACCCAGTTGAACAAGTGGTAAGTCTTATTTTCTTATCTTCCTCAATTTGTTGTTGTTTTGCTGGATTTTTTTAAAAGGAAATCAAGGCATCATGTCATTTCACTAAGTAGATCACAGTGATAAAAGACATTTACTAAATATAGACATGCATTATCATCCCTACCAAAAATAACTATAATTTCTTTCCTTTTAGTTGTGGGTGTGGGGAGGGGTATGCTGTTGCCCAGGCTGGGCTTCAACTCCTGGGCTCAAATGATCCTTCTGTCTCTGCTTCTCAAGTAGCTGGTAGTACAGGCACACACCACTGTGCCTGGCTCACAGTAATGTCTGAGATCCAGAATGTAGTGAAAATCATGTTTGATAGATTTACTAAATGCACCAAATTTTTTGCATCAAGAAGCAGTGCGTTTTTCCATGAGGGAATTAATTTTTATAAAAATGGAGTCTGGAAAATACCAGCAGGCCAAGGGATTTCCTTCTTCACCTATTTCTTGTCTTTATGAGCGAGTTAGGAAAATCACCACAAATCTGGGTTTGCAGATCTTAATAGGCTTCATCTGCAATTCTAGAATCAGGCAGCAATCTAGAGCAAAAATGGGCAGGTGCTACCTCTGAATAGAGAAAAGGAAGTGACATACAGCAAATGGAAGTGAGGTTCAAAGTCAGACACATCTACTTACATCTGTCTTATTTAAATGTATCTTGAAGAGTTGGTTCTGTCAAGTTCCTGTGGCTCTTTCATCTTATGAATGCAAACAACTTGGCAATGGTAAAGGAATGCCCTTGACATTTGCCTCTTTCAGTACCAAGGCAGAGTCACTTGAGTGTCCCTTCATGTGCACAGTTACCTCATTTATCTGGTAGCATTGCCAAGCAGCAGTGGGTTAAGGTGGGGATGGATTAGGGAAAGAATGTCTGAACAATGGCATTATCTTATACCATCTTCTTGTAGACATACCCCAAATTTACTGGGTTTTCCCAGGAAAAATGCCATTCTCTAAGGAGCAGTGGCATCTGGTACTGCTCTCAACAGGACAAGCTTTCGAGTTTTAATTCATTCAGCTCTTTAATTCAGACTGGTTCTATCTCTCCAGTCTGCTTCTAAGAGGACCCAAGGAAGCCACTCCTATGATATTTTTCTTTCTTTTTTTTTTGCAGGGGGAGGAGGAGTGGGTACCAGGAATTGAACTCAGGGACACTCAACCACTGAGCCACATCCCCATCCCTTTTTTCTGTTTTATTTAGAGTCAGGGTCTCACTTTGAGTTGCTTAGTGCCTCCCTTTTGCTGAGACTGGCTTTGAACACTCAATTCTCCTGTCTCAGCCTCCTAAGCAGCTGGGATTACAGGCGTGAACCACCGTGCCTGGCCCTGATGTTTTTCTTGAGTTGGCCTTCCAACGTGAGCCTGGTTCTTTTTCTCTCAACCCAAATATAAAATGATACATGAAGTTAGCCATTGTATGAAAAATTAAGAGACCCTTCCTTGAGACTCATAGAACAATGAAAACAAGTTGATGTATTTTCATACAACTACATATAGAAGGAGTTGAAAATCTTGCCAGAAAACCAGGTTCTCATCTGTGTTTGTGAGAAAAGAGAGGCATATTGGCATCTTGAGATGAACATTACCAGTCAAGTCCCCAAATAATGAATATAAAGGAATTGCCCAACCATGTATTGTTCCAGGCTGAATTTTCCGTTCAGGCCAAGTTGACTCCCCAGTTCTTCTGAAATATGTTGTGCATTTGTCTGTCAGGAGCTTCAAACATTATTTTATAACAGTCTGCTGTTAGGATAGTGGGTTAGAAGGTAGGTGTTCTGTCTTATTCCTCTTAATAAATCTCTAGCCTCTCTGACACATTGTAGGGGACCATTAAATGAATATTTGAATCCTCAAAATATTTTGGAAATTTTGTTTTACAAAGTCTTTTACTTAGCAAGCCTTTCTTCCTGATTAGCTAAAAAGTACTCAAAAACTAGTATAACAAAATATCCTAGATTGGGTAATTTTTAAACAACAAACATTCATCATTCCCCATTCTGTAGGTTGGGAAGTCCAGGAACAAGAACTGGCAGAATTTGGTGTCTGGTGAGACTCACTCTCTCTTTTTTTTTTTTTTAAAAGAGAGAGAGAGAGAGAATTTTAATATTTATTTTTTAGTTTTCGGCGGACACAACATCTTTGTTTGTATGTGGTGCTGAGGATCGAACGCGGGC